CATGCTAGCGGGGAGGAGGAGGCTGGATCCCATTTTGATCTGCACAACTTCCAAAACTGTCATCTCAGTCCACGGTTCTTGATGGTTCTCGCCGCTGCACATCAGTCTTCTTACCTGTTGTTTTCAGCATAGGCACGCCAGAACATAGTTTGTTCAACAGGAACAGATTCCTGCCACTGTCTTCACCAGGGCATACATGCTCTCCGATCACCGCTGTTTGCCACATAAATGCGTGGGAGACAGAGGGCCGCTCAAATCCATTGCAGCAGATTCACTCCGAGAACTGTGACCACATGCCTTGAAGGTGTACTTAACGGGCATTAATATAGAGCATGCAGAACAGTGTTTTAGCCCCCGCACTGGTTAGCTAAGGAGGGACATAAATGTCTTGCTGCATTTGTTATACTTTGTGCTTTGCTTTTGACATGAAATTCCAAACAGTATTTTCAAGCTGAGGTTGTAACTTCAAGATTTTGCAACTTAAAAACACTTTGTCAGCATAGTCCTTTAAGAAGTTAATGCTTTTATTAACATTGCAGTGAGATTTTTTCTTTTATTTTTGAAATGAAAATAATTTTTTTTGCAAGTTAACTACTTTTGCTTGTAAGTGTAAATAAACAGTGATCACATCAGTAAAAATCCAAATAAATTTTGCAATAAAAGCATCTGGTTGCCTGTAAGGATTTGCTGTCTTCCACAGCTACCATCTAAAAGCATTTGTGGTGAATAAAATTATTTTCATGACAATCCACATAAGAAATTTTCACTGGCACTATTCTGGACTTCCTGAAAGTGGCATTGCTCCAAGACAAGAGTTGGCTAAAATACTTTCAGCAAGTTTTCCACCTCTACCCCCCCAGCCCACACTCTCTCTCAATTTTGTTTTCCTTTAAGTGTTTCTCAGGTTGTTTCCCTTAAGTTTTTCTTTGCTAGGGGCTCAGCTTTTCACTAGCACTTGTTTTCTGTCAAGTATTTTAGTTTGCTTGAAAGACGCTTGAAAGAATCAGACCAAGAACATCGAAGTTACCCATCTTACCATCCCTAAACATTAGGATGCATTTCACCATTAATCATTACAAGAAAAACAGAATTATAACTGCGGGGAGGACAGCTGAATTACACAACTTCAACCTGAGATTAGGTCAAACAACCACAAGTGAGATAAAGTCACAGGAAAGGGAATGAAACTCAAGTACAGGCTTACGTAGGATTTCAATTGTCTGTTCATCTCCTCCTTGCCAAAATACCTTGTTCCCATGTTTTCTGCTGTTTGAACTAGGCTCTAGTACTTAACTTTTATAGTCTTTGGCCTAGATGTGCAATTCAGGCGCCGTCTTAGCACAAATGCCTTTGTCACACACCCAGCCCCTCAGCTTAACAAAACAAACCTGAGCAGGTATCACCACATCACCAGGCATGGTGATCTCAAAAGAGAGCAAGATACAAATATAATCCAAAACAAGCTGTAACACATAAAAGCTTTTACATGAAATCCACCTCTCAGATAAAATGCACGGGATTTCTTACGTTCATCCCTCTTCCCAAGGGAGGGAGGAAGCATTAGGTTTTACATTCCCAGTAAACAGCTCTGTTCCTATTAGTGCTCTTGAATTATTACAGATGACTTGCAAGTTCTTGGTTTGTACTGCTTTGGGCTTACAAAACAGGCTGCTAATAGTACCACTAAGCAGTGGTAGTATCCAATTTCTATTTGCTGGCCCCGTCGCCTAAGACATTAACCTATAATCAGTGCCGTATTAATTGCTTAAACTTCCTGTGTAAGCTGTTTTAGGCTGTTATCTGAAGAAAAAGCAACAACCCCAACCTCGAATTTTCAAGACCAATATATCAACAGAAGCATCTACAAGCAGTACTTACCCGAGAAAAATCTTCCGTCTGCTCTGCAGAGTTCAGAGTGCTGCGTCTCGGTAGATTTTGTATTCCCTCTGTACAGAGGGGCTTTACGGATATCCACAGATCTAGAGTGGAGCAGTCCTTAGGCACATCTCCAGGAACCAGGAGAAAACCTTGAGAATGAAAAAAAAAAGCCACCCCAAACCACAAACTACAGCAACATAAAGGCTTCCAAACCCTAATCATTTCTACAACAATATTTACCTGGGATAAGAATCAACCCCAAAAGACACATTAAGGAGGACTGTGTCACTACATTGATTTGACCAGCAGAAGTTAGTCTGACTGAAGAAGAGTTATTTCAGTACAGGCATACCAGAACATACTTTATTCAACAGAAACAGATTCTGTATCCGCCTTCCCCCCCCAGCGCCGAGCATATACTGCTAATTTAATTGTGAGAAATGCCACAGACACTAAGGCAGCTAGCATTTTTTGTAGGTTTTTGCTTGGCTCAGCTGTCCTGGTATTCACAATTATGGAATACTAAAAGACAGTGCCGAAACACCAATTTTATGCTTAACCAAGTAACTCTGAACAGACTGCCCAAATAGTCACCGTCAAATGATTTTATACGCGCCAATGGTTCAACCGTAGCGTAGAAACGTCTGTATAACCGGTACATGAACAACTTAGTAAAACGCTTCCCTGGAATTAAAAGTAATGGTTTTCTATTAAAAACACCATATTTCCTATATACAGGTACAATTGGCTAAGTCGACTCAAATGGTGCACTAGCCGAGACAGACAAGACAACAGGGAAGCTGCCTGCATCCCGCAGGGAAGGTTATCTTACCTCGAAAGTACGAGGGTAAGGGCTCCATACTCGAAGTTCAAGTCTTCCATTATCACAGCTTCTTAGCGCGTCCCTTCCAAAGTGACAGGTCTCAAAAAGGGAGGCTGTGGGATTCAGTAGTTAAAGACATAGCTGATTATTTATTAAAACCTTCCTTAGTTAGCCAACACATAGGTAATTTCGGGTAACGTTTTAACAATTCATCTTCACACAGTGCTTTCCCTATGTATGATGCGGCAGCCACAAAACCAGCAACAGATAAAACACTGCCAAACGTAAGACTGCCTGAAAATTTTAATCACTTAAATTTGTACAGATACGCATTTTACAGTACTGTTGAATTGTTTCACATGAGCTGTTTATATAGTATTTCAATTTCTTAAATGTCCACAGTTATTGACCAAAATTTCTTAAGTCACTCAGTGTGGCGCACTGAACTCTGAGAAGCCAGATGCCATGAGCCATGGCTACAGAACATGCCCATCACAGTAAAAGCCTTCAGACAGAATCAGCTTCGTTTTTCCTAAGCCCTTGTTCATTCTACAAGCAGGACTGTCAGCTAGTTCACTTCCACAAAACATGGTCGGGACAAGTTAACCTCAGGTTCACTGGTTAGGAAAAGCAGTGACCACGGCAGGGTAAGTTACAGTTTCAGCAGGTAAAAAACATGTTATTTACATGTTGAGAAAGCTGCCTTTGCTTCCATAGGAATATGCTCTACAAATAAATGTTCAGGAGAAGTTAGACAGTAGTAGCTTATGCCAAACCAAAAATACACATTTGATGTGTACAAATTTTTAAAGCTTATTACAGGCATTGCAAATGTAGATATTACATTAAAATATTTTCAGTGACATAGCTACAATTCAAATTAAGAAATGGAATGTTATCAGCAAGATTTATCTGTTCACTAGTGTTGACATTTGTACATACTTAATCCAAGTGCGCAGTATTTTTGTTCAAGTCATCATGAAGAGGACCATACTGCAGTGACCCGAATGTCATAAACAGGCTCAGATGATCTCTAACAGTGACACAACTTTCACCGGCAAATTCAGTTCTTCCAACGATGCAGGTTTACTCCTTAGCACAGCCTGTTGCTTCTACTCCACAATGGCGAAGTTAACCCCCGTCCCCCTTTTTTCAGGGAAGAACAAGACAGCTACACAAAATAACAGTAGAAGAGAATGGCTTTACTGAAACTTTATGGAAAGCTTGAGATCAACAAGTGTTCTGCACGTTCTCTTCAGTGAACTTTTTCTTTTTTAAAGTAGCATAACTTACATGAAGTATGCGGGGAGACCACACAATACATTACACCAGATTTGCAGTAACTGCACACCTCCTTGAATTTCAGTCCGTCTTAGCAGTATTAACCGTCCAGTTTAGAGGCACAGGAAAGCTAGAGCACTTCAACACACCGTTTTGTAACTTGAACTTTTTTTTTTTTTTTTAAACGCAGCTGTAGGAATTCAGTCTTTAGGTTCTTCTCACCCCATCAGCAGAGCAATCATCCCTCCCCCAGTTTGCTCAGAGAATGTTGCTTTTCACTAATTCTTCCAGTTGAGCTGAATTCTAAGTTTTCCACATCTAAATAATTTTAAGAATATTAAGAATTTAATGTAGTAACAGATATCGGTCTGTTCGGAGGGGCAGGGAAATCAAGACTTTGGTCCTCCCAATTCTCCACTAGATACTGGTTAAAATTTCCGGTTTGACGCATAAAGAATTTTTATAGTTGTTTGTCTATCTAGCACACACTTACTAAGTCTGGCATATTATACAAGACAATACCTTACCTAACCTGATGATTTATACTATGTTTATTGAGGTTAACTGTGCTTAACATAAAGTACTTAAAAAAAAAAAGGG